ATCGCTTCGTCGTCGTCTTTGTAGACAACATTCTGATTTATTCACCTTCTGAGGAGGAGCACGAGGAATACTTATGAGTGGTGCTTGAGTTGCTTAGAGCCCATAAGCTATATGCTAAGTTCGGGAAGTGTGAGTTCTGGTTGAAGGAGGTTAAGTTCTTAGGACATGTAGTTTTCGGGGAAGGGGTGACCGTAGATTCATCTAAGATAGAGGCAGTGCAAGATTAGGCACAACCTAAGAATGTCATTGAGATCCGTAGTTTTCTGGGATTGGCCAGGTATTACCGTCGGTTTGTAAAAGATTTCTTCCGACTAGCTTTGCCTTTGACTAGATTGACCCGGAAAGAGGTCAAATTTGTGTGGAATGAGACTTGTGAAAAGTTATTCCAAGAGCTTAAGGTTAGACTTACCACCGCTCCAGTCTTGATTATTCCGGAGAGGGGTTTGGGCTACTCGGTGTATTGTGATACCTCACGAGAGGGTCTGGGTTGTGTATTAATGCAAGAGGGGAAGGTAGTAGCCTATGGCTCACAATAGTTGAAAACACACGAGAGGAACTACCCTACTCACGACTTAGAGTTAGCAGCTGTGATATTTGCCTTGAAGATTTGGAGGCACTATCTGTATGGTGAGAGATTTGAAATATTTTATGACCATAAGAGTCTGAAGTATTTGTTTACATAGAATGAGTTGAATTTGAGGCAGAGAAGGTGGATGGAGTTTATAGAAGATTATGACTTCGAGTTACATTACCATCCAGGGAAGGAAAATGTTGTGGTCGATGCCCTAAGTAGGAAGTCCATTAGTAGTATAGCTGGTATTGCTATCTGGGAGTGGGAGATGTTGGGTGCTCTCAGTAAGTTTGACTTGCATCTGGGCGAGTCAATTGAGTTTGCAGCGTTGTTTTCTGTAGTTGCACAACCTATACTTGTGAACCGAGTGTTAGAAGCCCAGAAGGGTGACTTTGAGGTAGAATTCCTCCAGGAGAAGATCTCCAGTGGGAAGGTAGAGAAGGGTTTGACTGTGTATCCCGACCTGAGTGTGAGATACCGAGACCGCTTGTTTGTGCCGGAGTCTTGCCGAGAGGAAGTACTCCGAGAGTTTCACCATTCACTCCTTGCGGTGCATTCGGGAGGCATAAAGATGTATCATGATTTGAGTCACCAGTTTTGGTGGAGGGGTATGAAAAAGGACGTGGCAGTGTTTATGTCAAAGTGCCTTACTTGTCAACAAGTGAAGGCCTAGCATCAGAGACCAGCAGGTTTGTTGCAACCCTTGCCTATAGCCGAGTGGAAATGGGAGCATGTCACGATGGATTTTGTTGTAGGTCTTCCGAGGACTCCATGGGGTAGCGATGCTATTTGGGTGGTAGTTGACCGGTTGACTAAGTCAACGTATTTTATTCCTATGCGCATAAGAGATTCGGTAGATTACCTTGCTGACTTATATATTTGGGACATAGTGAGGTTACACGGGGTCCCAATGTCGATCATCTCAGATAGAGATCCGCATTTCACTGCCGGTTGTGGCGGAGTTTGCAGAGTGCCTTGGACACTAGGTTAACTTTTAGCACGGCTTACCATCCTCAGACAGATGGGCAGTCCGAGCGTACTATTCAAATACTTGAGGATATGCTTAGAGGTGGTGTCCTTGACTTTAAGGGGTCGTGGGAGAGACACTTACTCTTAGTGGAGTTTTCTTACAACAATAATTTCTAATCGAGTATTGGCATGGCACCGTTTGAGGCCTTGTATGGCTGACCGTGTAGATCTCTAGAGTGTTGGGCCGAGGTGGGTGATGCACCTTTGTTGGGCCTGGAGTTGGTGCGAGAAACGACGGACAAAGTGGCACTTATCCGTAAGAGGCTGGTTACAGCCCAGAGTCACAAAAAGAGTTATGCCGACCGTAGGAGGGGACCTTTGTCATTCGAGGTGGGTGATCATGTCTTTTTGAAAATATCACCTAGACGGGATTTGATGAGGTTTGGGAAGAGTGGGAAGTTGTCCCCTCAGTTTATTGGCCCTTTTGAGATCCTTGAGCAGATTGAGGATGTTGCATACTGTTTAGCGTTGTCGCCGTAACTTTTTGGAGTGCATGACGTGTTTCATGTTAGTATGCTTCGGAAGTATAAGCTGGATCCATCGCATGTGCTGAATTGGACCGACTTAGAGGTAGACGAGGATGCCTCGTATGAGGAGAGACTGGTAAGGGTCTTGGATAGACGGAACCAAATCTTGCGAGGCAAGACGATTTCCTTGGTCAAGGTATTGTGGAAACTTCACGAGGTTGGGGAAGCAACTTGGGAACAAGAATTGGAGGTCCTAGAGAAATATCCGGACCTATTTGTTGATGTTTGAATGTATATCGGAATTTTGATTTTATTAATGAACTATAAGAGCATTGTATATGTTTGAGATTGTAAAACATTGTGAATGTTGAGTATGTTTCGGAAAAGACAAGTTAAATTTGAACATTGCATATGTTATTTAAGTTTTGGAAATGTAAACTTGTTATAAACATTGAATATGTTTTGGAAACATGAGATGTTTGTGTTGAAATTTATTGAATCTCGGAATATGCATATTGGTAATATATGTTGAGTTGTATATGTTGTGGATTTGTTCTCTTGCGAAGAGATGGAATGACCAGTGGGTAGGTCATGATGGTGAATGTTGAATTGAAATCACATTGGGAATTGAATAACCATAATTTTGAAACTTGTATATAATTTCGGGGACGAAATTTTTTAAGAGGGGGAGGTTATAGCGATCCAGGTTTTACCCCGACCTTTAGTGTGTCCGGAGTCGGGTTCCGTGATTGTATATTGTTGTCTATTTCTTGTTTCCTTCCTTTCACTCTTTGTATTTGAGTTTTGGGTCGTGTTGGATGAGTTTAGAACAGGTTGGTTGTGAGTTGATTCAAATGGTTGCTGCCCAAGTTTTGGCTTCTTCGCTCGAGCAAGGCTTTTTGTGCTCGAGCAAGCCTTGGGTATTTGGTTTTTTACTAGAGCAAAGGTTCTTGTGCTCGAGTGAGGATTGAGGGTCTTTAGGTTTCTTTCTTAGAAGCAACTTTCGCTCGAGCGAGCCTTTTTACGCTCGAGTGAGCCTTGTGTTATTGGTTCCTTCGCTCGAGTGAGCACTCTTGCGCTCGAGCGTGTGTCTGCGTTGGTGGCAGGCCTGAAGCTTTGCATTGTGCGCTCGAGCGACGCTTCTTGCGCTTGAACGAGGCCACTTGTTGTGTTTGGTCGCTCGAACGACAACTCCTTCGCTCGAGCGAGCCTCACATATATCAGTTTACAGCAGCATGATTTTATATCATTTTTGACCCTTTTTTTCCCTAAAAACCCTAAATCGACAGCTCGCCTCTCTAAAACTCTCTCTCTACAAATACTCCATGTTCTAGGGTCATTCTACCCTACTCCCTTTGTTAAAAAGCTTGAGCATTGTGTGGGCTTCCTTTTGATCCGAAAAAAGTGGGATTTGGAGCATCTTTGGGTTTCTCTCTTTTTCTCCTTTGAGCTTCTCTATTTGAGGTAGGGATAATCTACTATTTATTATGTGTTTTAACCTAGATTTGTGTCATTTTGTATAAATGGTGGGATTTGGGATGTTTGGGGGAAGTTAGGCTTTGGATGTTGATTTGTGAAAAAAGGATTTTCTATTTTTGGGCTCTATATGTGTATGTGCGGTCCTAAAATGGGGTTATTGGTGCATAATTGTTAAAATTGTGAGATTTGGACCTTTGGGTCAATGTTATGAAATTGGGAAAAATTTGCCCTAATTGAGTTGAACCAACTAGTTGTGTAAATAATGAAATTGGTTTGGAAATTATGAGATTGGGAGAAAATGTGATTAAATAGTATAGTTGGATTGATAAATCACTCACCTATGGAAAAGTTGTTAAATTATTTGTTGATATATTTATTTATCTGTTTAGAAATATCTGTTCGGGCTATCGGTGGAGGATAGATATGATTGTTGTAGAAACTGCACAAGGATTAGGAAAATTGAAACTAATCAATTAATTTATGTCATTGAATATGACGGTTTGAGTAAACCATTGAAAATGTGAATTGATGAGTCATTGTATATGACAACGTGTTTACATACATTGTATATGTATCTTTGTTTTGGAGGAGATAGGGGATGTACTCCATTGTTTGGGAGGAGATAGGGGATGGACTCTATTGATAATTAAGTTGGCCGGAGTGTCTAGGGTGAAAGTCCTGAAACTTTGTATATATTTTGTCACGACCCAAACCCGCCCCGAGAAGGTTGGCATCGTAACCGGCCAGTAATCCTAGATTACCACAGGCCTTTCTGTACAAAACATACATAACCGGGGCTTGTGGAAGCGAAAACAAAACACTAATAGTCCAAAGAGCTGCACATTTATATGAACATACATTACATGCCAAAAATGTTAATTTACCCACTACATTAGATCACATATAATCAAAATTCATGTACAACACATAGGCTCACGCCATATGTACAACCAAAACCAAGCTTCCTAACGGCCTTCAAGGCCTAGCCCCAACTCGGAGGCACTAAAACACCGGGTAGGCTTCAAAACGGCGGCTCGGCTCGGACTCCGCCTAGGCTTGACTCCCAGAGTGCTCACCTATAAATACATATATACAAACAATGAGCTAAAGCTCAGCAAGTAACATTAAAGTAAAGGGGTAGTGAACAAGTTCCACATTTCATATATCCATAAAATAAATCATTCATAAACATAATCATCTCATATCAGAACATACATAATGGCATACTCCATAGAACATAACATTTGTTGTCCAACGACTAGAGTAACCGGTCCCAGACATCGATTAAACACATACCGAGATCTCGCAAACTGATCCACTTAGGACTATCTATGGATGCCATACTAGATTCGCAAACTAGACATTTGTTCACAGAAAACATTTATCATTTCAAAACCATAGCATAACGTAGCACTTTTAAACATAGATCATACTAACATATCTTTACAGAAATGTTACTCACAGTGGGTTTCCAAAACCGATTGCACGGTCTTCGCCTCCTGACCTGCAATTATTAACATTAGAACACATTATCGTAGAAGCAAGTGTTCATGCCATACTATCCTTTCTTTACTCTATTTCATGATTATGAGATGCTAAATGATGCAAATAACATGTGTAAATCATGTAATTCAACTTCTCAAAATTTCCTGAAAAAAGGTCCCCGCTCGAGCTGCAAAACCCCTGCTCGAGCGGACAGCAGACTGTGATAAAGATACTGGATGTGCGAAATCCCCGCTCGAGCGGACGGCGACAATTTGGGTGAAAAACCAGTCCAAAAATCTGCTAAACCGTGAGTCTCCCTTTAGCAAAATCAATTTTCCAAAATCATAAAATTCAAGGCTTAAACACTTGAAGAACAACTTAATTTAAGCTTCAAAACTAAACCCACGTGAATCACATAAAAGATCAAGCTTTGAATTGAAATGAAAATTCATAACTATGCACCCAAAAGCTTCATTTCCCAAATCCATGGAGTTTCCTCCCCAATATGCCAAATATAAACATGAATCATAAATTTATGCCTTGTATGCTCAAATTAAACAGAATTTCCCCTTCAATCCATTTACTTGCCATGAGATCAAAGATGATTCAACCTTATTTCAAGAAATTAGAGGGAAATTCTTACCTTAATCACTTAATTGTAGAAGATTTAGCTTGATTCTCTTTTTTCCTCTTCTTCTTCCCCTTTCTCACGAATTCCCTCTCTCTCTCCTTTCCAGATTTTTCTTCTCTTTTGTTTTTGAGTCAAACATAGGTCAATAGGTCAACATCCTTATCTTAAGTCATATTTATAAAATTGTGCCATAAACTCAAGCCAAACGGGGCTTAACGAATTAGACGAAATTCAGTCCTCAATTTATCGTCCTAACGGGTTTTAAAAATTCCCGGTATCACATAGGCGTGTTCAATTTCGTTTTCCGAACCCATTATGGCCGTCAATTTCAGTCCCGAAGTTGTAGTCTCAACATATATATTTTTTTTCCAATTCAAACAGATATTCTTTAATTAATTTCATATGAACACATAATGAATTACGGATATTTGTGACATGCGTTTCGGGATCATTACATATTTGGTACCGATTCCCTTGGATGTGATTCCGTAAAATGGCAAGAAAATGGAAGTGCATGAATAATGTTTGTGATTTAAGTGTTGTTAAATGAGTTGTAGTCTCATTTTGAATTGTTTAGATAATATTAAACTATGTTAACGAATTGACTTGGATAAATAAACGGAAGCGGAATGGAATATGGATGTCAATGTTGATTGATTATGAAAAGGGTGTAAGTTGGTTTACAAGTGTTAAACATTTATCTGATGCTCATATTTTAGTTAATTCTCATATTTGGTTTAGCATATCTCTACTGGGCTTTGGCTCACCCTACTTGGGACATCATTTTTTAGGTACAGGTGACATGTCGCCTTTAAGGTCTTAGCTTGGGAGGTTTAGGAGTTTAAGGCTCTACTTTTGTTAATTTGTTTTTTGATGATTAAATGTAAATTTAAGCTGAGGGCTTTATATGTAAAAGAGTTAGAACTCTTCTTTTGTTGTAACCAAGTGTTGACTTGGAAAGATGTAAGCCCGTAGGGCACTCATTTTGTTGTTAGCAGATAGAGTTACATTTAATATATTTTTGTAATACCGACTCTGATAAATGAAAATGTAACTTTTCTATCATGTTAATAGTTATAATGAATTATTGATTTATGTCTTCTTTTTTTTTTTGTTAGGGCATTACAAAGTAGAACCAGACCTTTAGGTTTATCTCTTCCTCACAAAGTTCACAGTAATACTCATTTGACTATTCCAAATGGGTAATTGGTCAAGATGAGGGCATGTTTGTCGTATCTGTGTCTTAGTGTTTGTGGCAAGAAGGCACATTCAGGTTGTAGAGCGAATTTTCAACTTGTTCAGTAGTACGATAAGTTGTAATCGTATATACATCAAGAAGTTCATATTTGAAAAATATAAAACTAAAGCATGCAGAGAGAATGTGGTAATTTTGAGCTGATATTCTCTGTATTCAAAGGCAATCTTTTACTAGTGATCACCACATTGGTAGCAAGAAGGCAATTTGTGCTTCGTTTTTAGAGAATGTGAGTGACTATCAACATTAATAATGCCCCCTGAGCCTGACATTTGTGAATTTATCAACAAGCCTTCCAAATGCATTTACAATGACAAGCGTAGTCGCACTCCGAACAGTAGTAGAACCAGAGCTTTGGGTTTAGTTCTCCCTCACAAATTTCACAGTAATACTCATCTGACCTTAATCCAACTGGGGAATAGGTCAAGATGAGGTCATGTTTGTCATATCTGTGTCTAAGTTTTTTTGGCAGGAATGCACATTCGAGGTGGAGATTGAAGTGGCAAGTTCTACATTTGAATGTGCATTCTGTCGAATCTTGAAAATTTAACCTTGTCCAATCTTGATAATCTAGATTACACCCTATGTTTGTCCAAACTTCATAACTCCCCATCCTTGTCCAATCTTCATAACATGCACTGCACAGAGAATTAAAGTTTTGTTCAAAATTGAGGAGGTGTTCGTGAGCTTCATGTCTGATGGTAATTGGGTAGGAGGCACACCTGATATCAACATAGAGATCACAACGGTCGCAATGGAAGGAAAACATGTCACGATATGTGCGATTGCAAAATTTACATTTGAAGTGACTTTTAACATTGAGGGTTATTGGGTGTATGTGTAATGGATGTTGTATCGCATAGGGTAACTTAGCACAACTTTTGTGCAGAATTAAGTGGCATTCCGGACAGTTGTAATAGGGAGTTGAAATGGATCGGCAACACGTATCACATCTTTCATTAGGTTGGGCATCAAAGAGGGTTAAATGATGGTCAGAACAGCACTGCTTTATCTCTGTCAATCTTTTAATCGATTCTGGGCTGAAATAACTTTTTACCTTATCAGAAGAACTAAATTGTTTTAGGTCTGTCCATACCTTACTGAATCCCATGCTTATTTGCTTTATAAAACGATTTTCCATATCAACAGAGCTAGATTTGTTAGGCATGGGCAAGCAGATCAAATTGGGTGAATCAGTTTCAGCTATTGTATCACTTGTGTCATTTCTGAAACAACTAAACAAGACATACTCCATCAAATATTTAATTGAAATCAAGAAGAAGACGAAGACTTGGAAGAAATGCGTGATGCATAACATACTGTGTTCTTGATGTGGTGCAACAACCAACATGGGCAAAATATTTGCATTCTGCACAATAATAAACACAATTCCTTGTGCTCACTTTCTTGGCACAGATATCATAATAGATACCAAATCTGGTAAGCTCCAAAGCCTTCAATTGAAACAAATCGGAGAGAGTGAGAGGGCAGTCGTGAGAAGTATGTTTGATGCTGCTGGGTAACAATGTACAACTCTCGTGCACCCAGAAATGGCAAGTGGCACATTGGTAGGAGAAACCTTCTTTTTCATGTCTTAAGCTACAAGCATCACAACAAAACGAGGCTTTCTTCAGCTAGAGAGTTAATGGGTGTTGGAGGTGACCACCAAGTTCAATGGTCTGCGCTAATTGAGCACAATCAACATCAAGGTAGAATTGGCAAGGAGAGGAACGGTACAATACACTATTCGTCGTCTTACAGCAGGCATCACATTGGTAGCTGCCTGGCCACATTTCAAGGGTAAGAGGGTATTGGGGTTGCCAACCGTGGTTCATCTCCTGGGGTAGTTCTACACATGATTTATGCAGAACGAACCACTTGCACATTGTGCACCTGAAGATAGGACCTGATATTGAATTTAAGCAGCAATCACAGTACTGTAATTTTTTTTTTCTTCTTGTTGGTATGTATCAATATCTTCAATGAGTGTCAATGGATGCTCATGGGCGAAATGTTTTAGCTCCATACCAACTGTCTGCATACTCTGCAATACAAGTAAAACTTGCGTATAACGGTGATACCACGTCATTAATGCAAGTGTCGTATCACCAACCAATTATAACTTTACATACGATTGAGTAAACCCACCTATTAATTGTATAGGTATTGCTATTTAGACCCAAAAATTAGACTCACTTTTAAACTTAATGACATGGTACTCTGTTAATATATTTAGGTCAACTCTCACTCTTATTTATTCTATAATCATTAATCAATCATCTTGACACATTACTGAATTTAAAAAATGAGTTTAAAAAGTGATTTTATTTAATTGTAACCTAACCACCCACCCAAGTCCTTGTTATAACTTTTATGCAACTTTCATGTCATTATAGTAGGGTTGGGATTTATATACATAATAGGAGATAACATGTTGCTTAGTGTCACGCCCCAAGCTCCGTGACAACGCCGCACACTCATTTAAGTGAGCATGCAAGGCTAAGAGTCCAACACATAACCAACATTGTAAAATACTCAAATTAAATCCTTAAATATCATAATGCTAAAAACCATACAAATAGATATAAAATAATAATATTTAAAACTTGGGTTTTACACTTAGTGATACCTAATATGCATGATGACTCATTATTATAACTTTTATGTAACTTTCATGTCATTATAGTAGGATTGGGGTTTATATACGTGATAGGAGATAACATGTTTCTTAGTGATACCTAATATGCATGATGACTCATTATTATAAATTTTATGTAACTTTCATGTCATTATAGTAGGGTTGGGATCTATATACATGATAGGAGGTAACATGTTATTGATTAGTGATACCTAATATGCATGATGACACATTATTAAAACTTTTATGTAACTTTCATGTCACTATAGGACAGGAGGTAACATGTTTTTGGTTAGTGATGCCAAATATGCATAATGATGTGTATCACCGCTTTTTCTTATGCAGTACATGAAACCTTTTCTCCTTATGTTTCCAGCACTGTCCAGCACTTCAAAGTAGATGGTAACGCGTGGCTGGGAGAAGATCTAAGGAACAGAAACACATCCACATCGCAGAGAGGAGAATCCTCCACCCATCAGAATCCATTTCGTGAAGGGAAGGGCTTACTTAATCTTTTTCTTTCACCTTAGCTGCAATTCAGGTACATAGATGATATATAAAATAAATTAATTTGAAATTCATAGTGTATGAGAGGGTTCAAGAATGTCGTTGGAAAATTCGAAGATCTTTGAAGAAAAATTCAAATTCTCTAGAATGGATTTGGAAAGAGAAAAGAATCCTTTCTCTTTCTAAATCCCTTTTAAATTCCCTCAACCAAACACAACGAAAACTTTTTATTGATCCTAGCCTTGTACGTACGAGAGAGAAATGTCTGGATGAGAACAAACAAGCAGAGAGGGTGGGTTGTTAAAGCTGAAAAGTTTCATCCATGAACATCCCTTGACTTTATTTGATGAGTTGATAAATGGTGAAAAGTAGAATGAGTGTGGGCTTAACATCTCAAGGCCTACCTACAATTGCATGACTTGCAAATTCTTCATCCACAAATTGTGTGTGGAATTGCCGTATGAGATTCATCACCCAATTTATCTTGATAACCCTCTCACTCTTGCAGAGCCAGGCCCGACCCTGAGAGCAGGCAAGACAGGCCTGCACATTTGGGCTGAAAATAGGAGCCCTCAAATATAATTGTGTTTTAGATATAAAAATAAAGGCCCAAATACTATAGGCCCAATTGAACATGGGCCCAAAAAAAAGAGAAACATAGTCCACAGATCTTAAGAGCTGCAACTTGTTAAGCCAAACTAAACTAAAATAGATAATAATAAAATAAATAAAATAAAAAATAAAAAAGTTATTGTAACTTATCGTTTTATCCATGATGATTTTTTTTTTTCAATGTAAGAAGGGCCCCATTTCCGAAGTTCACCTTGAGCCCCCTAAATCTTAGGGTCGGCCCTCCACAGAGCCACTTTGTCCACCTGCCTTTAACATCATTTTCTTTTGTGAATTCTGTCATAATGTTCACACTAATGACTTCTCCTACTACTGCACTGAGTGCCATTTTGCCCTCAATGCCCAATGTGCCCTCAACATACCATTCACCCTTCAACATGTTAGCCATGACCACCCTTTGTCTTTTGTCTTATGTGAATTTGATGGCACTTGTCCTTACTGCAATACTAGAACTAATATCTTCTTTAGGTGTACCACTCCCAATTGACGCTCCTTGATGCCCTGGTGCCTCGAATTTAATTGTGCTTTTTTCCAACTTGTGTGGGGGTAATTTTCGTACTATGAAGAAGGGTATAACTTTGTGAAAGAAAGGCGTGCTTTGGAAAGTGAAGATCTACATAGAGTAACAAACGATGAGGTTTGGTCAGGAATCCCTCAGATGGTAAAGCCAGGGACTAGGGGAGAAGAAGAAGAAGAGAGAATGTGAAGAGTGTGCATATATTGAGTGTAAGGATTTCGGATGCCTTATGGGTGAATAGTGCTCACCTTTTTGTAGACACCCCATTTTTGACCGACCTTAAGACTCGGACGTCACTGATTGAGCACTCGGTGATATTGCATATTGTGCTTGTTCAGAAGTTTCAGAGTCCCGGCTGCAAGCCTTGCCTCCGGACTTCCGGACTCTTTCGTGCCTTGCCTCGGTTTGCGAACCAGGCTCTGTTTTCTCTGTTTTCTCTTCCCGAAGGGAGGGAAAGGTCTCGTAGATCATCTCTCAGTGGTCATAGGCTACGTTTTGTGGTCGTAGACCATTTTTCTCGTTTGGAGCCCGGTTTTCAGTTTTTCAGAGCCGACGACCGTGTGCCTCGGTTCGGGACCGCTTAACTACCTCCGTTTGCTCCGGTTTTTGCCACACATTTTATTTCCTCCCTTTAGAGGGACACTGTGGCCTAGGAGACCAACTTCGTGGTCGAACGCCACTCCCAGTGCCTAACAGCCTGTTTCCGGGGCCCCGAACTGCGTGTTTCGGCCCCCGAGCCTCCGTTTTGCATCCGTCTTGGTTCAGTTTTGGTGGAGACCTTATTTTCATTGTTAGAAAGCTTGTAGGAGGGTGGGAGGCCAACAATTTTTCTGAAAGGCCAGTTTTATTTCTTCATCGCTCTCCGTCGCCCGTTTTCCTCACTAGAAAGCTAATGTTGACCACTCCCGGGCCACTTTCTTTAGCCCTAAACCCCATATTTGTGTTGTACACACCTGGGAGGCCACCAATATGTATAGGCCGGCCAGTAATTGTCCTTGACCCTTTTGAACCCCTCTAAAAAGTTGGCTTTTCTCTCTTATGGTTCACATTTTCTGGGTTTTAACCATTTAGTTGTGTTGTGCACACATGGGAGGCCACCCTTTTGGGGTGGCCGGCCAGCAATTCTAACTGACCCTTTTGACCCCTGGCCGGCCGGTCATGGGGGTGGCCAGCCGGCCACCTGAACCTTTTGAACCTGGCCGGCCATGATCCTCTCTCCAAGTGTATTCCAGCTGTGCAATCTGTTTTTCCCTAGATTTTGTATCCGGGGGGCTACTTTTTGGGGGGGAAATTTGAATTGGTTTTTCCCCCCCTTTTCCCTTGGCCTCTCCTCTATAAAGCCAACACCTCACCTCCATTTTGAGGGGTTAGAAAAAATCCTCTTGGAGCATTTGTATACAACTTTCCATCTCTCCCTCATCCAAGCCTCCAAACACCTTGGTTCTTCACCATTTACACACCGACCCATAGCATAACACCTCCACTACTCATTCCAGCACCTTGGAGGCCATTTGCACAGGTTAAAAGTTCAGAAATTTAGACCAAAAGCTGCTGGAAAGCTTCTCTTCAAGGGTGAGTCCCTATTTTCTCTTTTCTTGCCCTATTTTGCATGCTATCTTAGCCCATTTTTCTTACATTTTTGGGCTCCGACCCAAACTTGAAATAGTCATATTTTGAGCTCTTCTTCATGTTTGATCAAGGACTTTTTGCTGTTTGAGGTCTCCTCTTCCCCCTTTGTGTTTAAACTCTCTTTTAGACCTATTTTTGCATGATATTTTAGGCTTATTTGTGAGCTGTTTTGGAGTTGGTCATAAACTATGAAATATCTTTTTTTGAGCCCCTCTTCAACTTTGTTGAATGTCTCTCCTCTGTTTAAGGTCAGATGCTACCACTTGTCTCTTTATCCCTCTTTTAGGCGTTTTTCTTGCATGATAGTTTAGCCCTGTTTTTGATCATTTTCGAG